TAATGCAAGTTTTTGGAGTGGAAGGAATTATTACACTCAAAGGTATTGCTTTAGCATTCAAAATAATTCCCATATTCTCAAATCAGTTAAATTGAAACAACAATACTGAAAATACAAGAGTAAAAATAAGATTACATGGCAAGAAATAACACTGTGGTGGATTAAAAGTTCGGGGCTTCTAGGCCCTGTTATACTAAATGGAATTTCCACTATTTTTTATGTCAGACATCCACAGATTGCTGTTACCCAGCCTGCATGACAACAGCAAGAACAGACGTGAAGGATTCAGGAGCCCTTTATCACAGCTAAAGAGAGAGGGTTGCAGTAGCAATAGATTTTCTTGGTCACAAAGTGTAGAATGACAGGACAAGTCACAGTTTAAGGGTTTGGCAAACAGGTAAACTAAACCTGGGTAAACCACAGAGCTTTATCAAGTGGTTATTGTTTTAGTGATGATTTAAGGCTATGGTAGAAGAAAAACCCAGGTGTCTAGTGACTCTTCTACAGTCCCAGTGCTAAATGAAGAAACTCCAATCCGGTTAACTTCAGAGCATTAGCATCACCTGCTTTCTTTTTTTTTATTTTTAAATATAACAAGGAACAAATAATTTTTGCTAGCTGGACCCTATAAAAATTGTATTTCAAGCCAAACATGTTTCCTCAGCAAACTTGGCAAAGAGCAAGCTAATTTTAAGGATTTCCTTAAAAATTTTATACACTTACATTTGTTTGAAAGCAAACTAACCTCCCAGAAGCAGAGGGCATTGATCCCCACCTTACTTGAAATTCCTCAATTTCTCGCTGGTCTTTGGGTTTTTTTTTCCTGCTTGAAACAGCAGGTCTAGGGAGGCATTACTGAAAAGCAGTGCTTCTTTCACGATGCATGTAAATTCCATATCTTTTGGGAAACAAATTATGTCACAGACGGAAAATGTATCTGCTATGAATTTGCAATTTGCTATGTAACTTATGTCCTTCTGTTGTTTTTTTGGTTTTGTTCCACAGCTGTGTTAGTCAGAGCACACAGAAATTAGCCTTTTATTGGACAATTTGACCGAGGAGTTATGTTCAAGTGATGTAAAAAAAAAAAATCCTGACAATCCAGACATTTTGTTCTGACAATATTACCAACTTCTGTTAAAGCATTAGTACACAGCTGAATTGCATGGCATATGTACTCAAGTTGGTAAGGCTTAAATTAGCAAGCCATTATGTAAGCAAATTTTAAGCATAATTTAAAGGAACTAAATGACGAACTCCCTGAAAAAGCCACCTGACATACAATTAAGCAAATCTTTCCAAGTTGTCTTTCTTTCCAAGTATAAATAACTGACATTATACTAAAATGAAAACAATCTCAGTGAAAGCCAGATCAGAAATAGGACTCTCTTCTGCACTGATTACCAGCATTATTTTCTGCAACCACATACTACTAAGTTCAGTGACATAAATTCTCTTATATTTATAATGTATTTTACATCCGGATTCCCCACCAGTTGTCCCTTACATATGTAAATAGAAAAAAGAGAAAACAAACTGCTCTATTCTGCAAAACACAGGAAAATTGTGAACACATTTACTTTTACCATTTGCTCCCAATTTTTTTCATTTGAAATTTGATAAAAAATAGTAATCCAAATGAAACCTCTACAATGGTAGACTGATTGCTATAGATAATTATATGGCCTAATCTGGAACATGGATCTTCCACCTAATTTTGTCAATGTCATACATATTTCACTTAGTTCAATACACCCACAGCACCTCACAAAATACTCGAATTTTGAGCCAAAGAAACTACCTTTGCTCATTCGTTTTTGTACCCTAAAATGTATCTCCTTTTCTATAAGGAGAATGAAATGCATATCAGGTATCACAAAGGAAATACGTATTTTAATGTATTAAACCTAACCGAATACTGTAAAAAAGTTTTACAGGAATGAGGAAAGAAAAGAAGTTGTATTTTCAGTCATTTTGCTGCTTTACAAGGTTGTGGTACCATGGCAGGGAAGAACAGAGAAAGCAGTGGCAGCCACGCCATCAGGAGGACTGAGGTTGGACCCTTCCCACCCCTTACCAAACTATGGGCAAAAACTAGTTGGGCATTTTGCTGACTTCTCCACTGCCCTAAAAACCAAAATATTTCACATCACAGGGCAGAGTGAATGGAACAGATGGAAGTAACTTAAACCCACTACCATTCTGGCAATTAAAATCTCGGTGTACGGAACACAACTAAAAGGATTTGAAATGAAAGTGTAGGCCCTCTATAAGGAACTAAAACCACCTAGAATATTCTGCCAAAATAGAAGTGTGAACTTTCTCTCAAAAAAAAAAAAGAAACCTACCTGACTTCCTTCTGAAATGTTATCTCACATAAAATTGAACTAAACCCATTAAATGTGGTCTGTCTGCAACTATATGAAAGGAGAGCAAACTCAGGTCAGAAGTACAAAGAGCTAAACAATACTCAAAAAACATGAAAGAACTTCAGAAATGTGTTTGAGTATGCATTTTGACATTTTAGAACAAGAATCACTGAAATTCATGTAACTCATTAGCCACTAGAGTATGCCAGTTATTGCCAATTAATTTTGGAAGTGTAATGGAGTAATTTCTTGATCAGCCTATGCCTACTAACTCTCACTACAAGATGTTTTGGGATGTCCTTTATGATTTTAAATGAGCAGAGAACATATTATGTTCTGCTATATATATTTGAAAAATCCTTAAGAAATATTTGGCACATACGTGAAAAGATCAAGAACAGCTTCAAAGCATTACATTTTTAAAATATTCAGCTACAATCATGAACTGCAAGGACCTCTTAGGGACCTTGTACATTGCCCTACAGCCACAAGCAACTACATCATATAAATCCTTTCCTAACCTCATTAAATTTAGCCTTTAAAGTTTTATTGGGCTCTTTTTCTTTCCAGTAAGCCACATGAAATAAATTCTCAAGGCTTTAATGCTTGTAAACATCTTTTTTTAAGCAAGGAGTGTTTAGGACCAAGTTGTACACATTTGGTCTCATGTATTCACTGTCTTCTATTCTTATTATTTAAATTTTCTGCATTTCTACATATCAATTCCATACTTCCAGGTATCAACTATAATTGCTTTAGGTCTCATCCCCTTAATCTCTCCAGCCTTCTCTCACATGAGCAGTTCTCCATTTCCTCAATCACCCTCTGATTGACTTTCTTTGTGCCTGTCAGAGTTTGTATTTCTAAAAGATGGGTAATGCATGGGAAACAACACCCCTGGTGAGGTATCATCCATTCTCCAACTCTTCAGGAAACACCTTGAATCTAGGTTAACACTTGACTTTTCCTGAGCTGACACTTTGGTAATTCACACTTCAGCATCCTTTCCAAATGATGCACCCTTAACTTGAAGACACTTGATGCATGTGTTTTGTGTCAATATAATTTATTGAATTTATTGTGGTAAAATGTTCATGTGGACGCTAAGGGATAAATATGTTTTAAAAGTTTTTATGGATATGAAACTTGCCATATGTAATTAGTCAGGAATGTTGAGCTATTGAAAATAATTAAGAAATGTTGCTCATGTTGCTCTATTTTAATTATAGCAATTGTTCTAAAACATGTTATTTTTAGGTATGTATTAATATTTTGAAATGAATTAATTCTATATATTATATTAACTTTTAAAGGGAGACACAACAATGGTATTTTAAAGAAGTGATCCCCATGTTTCTCACACACTCAGGACTAGTCATTATCATTAACTTTTCAGCTGTTAAAGTGAAGTAGCTCAGCTTTATCACACCATGTAGAATTTATTTTCACACATTACTATTATGACATTTTCTTGGCACTGGAAGCCTGAAGTTCAACACCTAAACTAACCTAAACCTTTAGGAAAACCTGAACTAAGACAAGTGCACATGACAAGGATGCATTTAATTGAATTTAGGACAATCCAAACAAGTCAGACAAGTCTTCAGAGTAGCACTAATACTGACCTATTAAAAACCTACTGCAATACTCAAATGTGATAGAAATAAACTTCTCTGGGAATTGAACAGTACTAAATTTCAGGTTACAGGTATGCTAGTATTTAAATGGGGGCATAACATCACTTCATATAAGAAGCATAACTCAACAAAGAAAGCATCAAAAACTACACTGGATTGTAAATAGTTTACACTTGTTTCAGCTGAGGTGCCAGAAAAGCTAGCTAACTTCCACACTTAATACTCCAGTTAAAAACCTGGGCTACCACTTCTTGCAGAACAGCCCCAGAAGAGGTGGTAAATGCCCAGGCACTGTTCTGCTCAAGCACTGCCACACCTGATGCCACGCACAGGGTGCAGACATGAACAGGGAGCTACCCTCACCTGCTTGAGACAAGGCACAGGCAATACTGGTGAATATGCCTGTACTTGATCCTGAAAGTTCTGCAGATTTTTGAAATTATAACTATGCATTCAAAAAGGATTTGTTCCACCTTGATCACAATACTTATGTCCAATTTGTTTGCCTATATATAGTATTAAAAATGTCAATCAAAAAGCTGTTTTTACAAGAATTCCCTGAATATCTTCTGCAGCCAGAAGTGAAACAAAGCAAACAATGAAAAATCACAATTAAAATACTAAATTAGATTTCCTGAAGCTGATGAAAGGACATTGCATGCAAAAAGTCAAAACTGTTAACTAAAGATGTATTTATGAAAAAAAATTGTATTACACTTTTCTTGTCTCCTCTACTTTTTAGGCTATAAGTAATTCTCAGTTCTTAATTTCTTTTATTGTCATAATTTTGACAACAGTCTTGGGTTTCCCTATAGAGCTGTCTTCAAGGCCTGTGTTCAGCTAAACGATGTGTAGGGCCTGGGTGTCAGGATTCCTGTTTTCCCCCCTCCCCTGTGGATGATTATGAAATTTCAGTTCAGTTTTTCACATTAATATGTATCCCAGTTAACTAACAACATTATAACAATAAATTATAAAAAGCATGGATTCTAACCACTTTGTCCTCCTGTGGGAAAGCATCCAAGGAAGCAGAATAAAAAGAGAAAAGAAAAAAGAAGAGATAAAGAATAAAATAGGCAAGTATTAATAGACAGATTTCAAAGAAATGCAATTCTAATAACTCTCTATGAAAAGACAAAAACACAAAATTAAGGGGGGAAAAAAGAGTTTTAAATAAAAAGATGACATTACAGCATATGTTAAAAACATGTTTTCCCACCCTGACCCACAGAAGCATAAACAATATAAGAAACAAAACGCAAGTTACAAATGAAATGACACTCTTCCATTTCTGTGGCTTGAAATAGGGGCTGAAAAATGGTTAAAATATATATTCAATTTTTTTTTCTGAATAAAGTTAAGCTGTGTCACATGCACTCATTAATAGAATAAAGTAATACATCAAAGTAAGCTATATTTTCAGAGACTTGCTCTGATGACACCCTCTACAGGTGACACAATGCAATGCATCTCTTTTTACTAATATTAATACAGGCACATTTTCATGTAGTTTTCTTCAGCATGTGAATTTAATTTAATTGACTCACAGGTACATCCATGCTATGGAAAACCTCTAAAATAACCATGAAATGCATATTTTTTAGGGGTTATTTTTGGTTTACACGAAATTGCAGAAGGCCTATTCAGCAGATGTCCATCTTAAAGAAAGTGAAAAGGCCACAAAATAGTTCTCTTGTGAACACAATTATCTGTTATACAATCTGTGTTCACTTTTAAGTGAATTTGTGCTGATACCAAGAACACCTATAAATTTACCCTACAAAAGCCTGGCATCTTAAAGCCACACGAGAAAGTTGCCTCATCTCATGACAGAAAATGAAACTGTTCATGTAATAAACTGCAGAAGCAGTCAGAGGTTTGGAAGGGACTGACTGACCAGAGGGTACTCTTGGATAACATCTGGCTTTGTGGAAAGCTGCTGCAGCTAACCCGTGCAGATCAGAGGGAGAACCATTCGGTTCACTTACCTGAAAGCACGATGCTTAATCCAGACTAATCTGAAGTTTCATTCTTTAAATAAATTTTAAATAAATTGGCATAACACTTTTCTGTGCTAAGAAAAGTGGTTGTTTTTTTGGTTTTGTTTAAACCAAAAAATTGACTGATTTCATGTAAAAGCAATCTATAAGTGTTTATGACACGCTCTAAAAAAATAAAAATGCAATATTAAATACGGTTTCAATAAGAATTTATTAATGTGGAGTTGTACCTGAGCAAAAGGATTTCTTCTTTTATTCTATGACAAACAGGTATATTTTCTACAAGCTTTCATTCAATAGAACTGGGCACTATTATTCTTTTCCTTTAATTAATTCTGTGATTTCCAAGTACCTTGGCAATCATTAAATACATTTGCTTTACTTGTATGATTTACATTGATTTACGTGTATGATACACACATTATAATGAAGCAATGAATGAAACATTTCAGTAAAATGAAGCATGAAATGCCCAACTTAAAGTGAATAACCTGCAGCATGACAATGTCACGAGGCTTCTTCTTAAGAGTACACATCAGAAGACTTACATTGTTTGATCGCAGAGAGACACGACCTCCACACCGAGCACAGAACTTGGTCCGGCAATAAGAGCATAAATGGCCACAACCATCTGCAAACTTTGTTTTATGACAGATTCCACATGTTGGAGCATCATCCTTGTGCTCTCCCTGGTAACGGCGGGCTTCTTCCCCTATCTTTCTTACTTGCTCTTTATAGCTTTCAAATTGTTGATGCAACCTCCTGCATAGATGAGAAAAAAGTTTATATAGCACGAATAGGAGGAAAGATTACTACTCTGTAGTTCTTTCAGTTTGCAACTCCACCTAATATTCTGGGCCTGTTCACAATGCTACATGTACCTCATATCAAATACACACTGCACACAGAAGATTGCATAGGGAAATTTAAAGGGAAAAAAAAATAGACATCTTTATTCTTGAAAGTTTACTTCAAAAACTACAAGCAAATCATTTCAATTGACCAGAAATTGATCCAAATGCATATACCAAAGAAAACTGCCTACCATGTACCGAATAAAAGAAATAATTGTGTGATCAAATTTGCATCTTTTTAACCAACTTAATTCATACATCAGGTGTAATCAAAATATGTAAATCAATCTCCAGGTTCAGTGCTTTCAAAATCTAGATTACTAACACATGTAACAAACACTTCAAAACATGGTTCAAAATGACCTTACAAGAACATGACAATATCTTTTTATTTCAAATGTATATATTAACAATCTGTTGTGTTTTCTCTCGTTAAGTATGACAGACTACTTAACGCTTGCTACCCCTCATTACAGATATTTCTTCCAGCTTAGCATTCGAGGTTCCTAGGATGAAGACCAGTGTTGAAAGAAGCAGCACTTCTCCTCCAGCTGCCCCAAACAACGAACACCCTGACGCTATGCCCACCACCTGGAGAAGCATGCTGCTGCACAACAGACTCACCTCCTAATCACAGCTCAAAAAGACCTGAGACAGCCTAAGGAGGAGATTCCAGAAGGGCAAAACATGGTCTTTGCACCGTGCTATGTAGAATCCAGGCTTTTCCAGATGTTGCTTCAAATATACATCTCCATGGATAAAGTTTAAAAATCATGAACAGCTACACAGATTATGAATAGAAAGAGGCAATCTTGAGTTTGATAATTGGAAACAGTAGGTGTGTTGTCAATAGAGGTCTTGGTGATATCCTTTATCTCTGCTCTGAGCTACCTACTTCCTTAATTAGCACTGACTCACACCATTTAACCAGTGTATTCTTAGTGACACAATTCCATGTTTCTGTGGGCTTGTGTGTGTGTGTGTGTGTGGAGAACTTGTCTGGAGTTTTAAGGTGTAAATGATCTGTGTTCTTTGTATGAAATACTTTTTTGGTGGTGTGGATATTTTTACTTTAACGTGATATTCAAGCCTAAAAATAATTCAACTTAACTCACAGGAATTGTGGCAAAACACACATAATTCAGTTGGACAGGAATATTATTGCTTGTAAATTGTATTTCAACTAGCTCTCACACTAAAACCAGTAACACCACATGAGTGCATTCTAGTGAGAATGCAGCAAAAGCTAAGTAACTAAATATTCTATTCTCCCTAACTACAAACATGATGCATTATACTTAATGCTTTATGCAAATCAAAAGCTTGGCAGGAGCAGCAAGAGGGTTTGTTTTGTTTTATTTTTTACTAACCTGCTTAAAAACCTTTGCAGTATTGAGTAAGATGAAAAAGTAGGTCAAAGAATTAGGCAAAATACTGGAGAAACTTAATACTTTTTACCATATAACTGGATTACACATATAAATTAAGTTATCTTACACAGCTTCTCACTTATAATGCATAAAAAAAACAGAAGACATTCAGGAATTTTTATAATAACCAGCTTAAAGAATGCAATTAAATAATGGAGAAGTCTGTAGGTAAATTTCTTATTACATCAAATATTCTATTCAAAAATGAAACCATGGAAACTAAATTCAGTTCTCCGCCACTAAAGTAAAACCAAAGGCCCTGGCTGTTCACTAACATGGAAAGGGAAGGTAACAGCAGGCACTGCCCCTCTTCCTGTTCTTTTCCAATGAGACCATCTTCATTTGAACTTTTTTTTTATCTGAAACGAAGCTTAGGAAGAGTATTAACACAATTATGTTTCTGTCCTTCTGTGTGCACCAAGGGGTAGATGAACATGCTACAAACTGGGCAAAACTTAAGTGAGATGAGATTAAAGTTCTTTATAAATAAGTATCACTTGTTTATAGATTTGTTAATTTCTGAATCCATGTAAGACACATTGTACTATGAGGGGTTTGAAATCTTTATCTTTCATATCATACATGGCACTACTGAGGAAATGCTGACATTTTATCTACAGCAAGAACGGAACTGGAGAAAATGACTGCACATTTCACAGAGCAGAAAGAATCTTGCCCTGCTCACAGCAGGTATGGTTCAATTGGCTCTTTTTTTAACCACTTTTCCTACTTTTTTGAGGAAAAAGCTGGATCTCTGTATCTTTGGCTCTTCTATAATGGTGGCAGAAAATCCTTCTCAATGGTTTTGCCATATATAGAAGTATTTTAAGCATTAAGCAAGAACTAAAATCCACATGGTAGGTTTTGATTTGCTCCTTAACTTCCAGGCTATTGAGCACATTTTCATCAGATGCAAGGAAAATTTTAAACTATTAAATATTCCTTAATGTAGACAAGCACCTAAAGGTTAGACTAAAGACCTAATAAGAGCATATGATATAATGTCATGGCAGACCCTTGAGGCAGACACCAATTCAATGCCCTCTAACAGAAAGAGCAACCAGACCACTGTGTAAGGGAGATATATGCACACACCCATGTGATTTTCATCACGCACCCCAGCATTTATCTGGTTCTGCTAGTGAAGTGAAGGGCACTTGCAGGATTAGCTTGCTCTGAGACATTACTGCAGCACTTCACTTGTGCAGACCTCCCAACACTCTGAACAAAAGAGCTGCATCCACACAAGCTGACGTGTCTGGGGAGGGCACTGCTATTTCACACTCACAGGCACGGCACATACGAGTGAACAAAAAAAGATCCCACCACGGCAGAATCTTTGGGCACACCACATCTCCTATGACTAAACCACTCTCTTCTGCTGCTAAAATACTGGAAGAGACTGAGCAGCTTGGAGAGGGACATCAGGCTCGGGGCTCTAGTGCACCTGTGAGGGGTCAGCATCACCACCCACAGTGCACAAAAGCCAATAAACACCTTGCATGTCTACAGGGAAAGACTTAACCTGCTCACTTTTACAATATACATAGAACCCAACATATGTTCAGTTTGCTGCTGGTTTTTTCTCCAAGAAAACATGATGGCTTCCTCCTCCCTTTTTTTTCAAAGATATTTCACCAAAACCCTGCTTCAGCTGTGCTATATATGTACTGTATTTTCATTTGAATATTCTGTATTTTATTTTGACAGTGTAAATGAGTAAAAAATTACTGATAGGTAATTCTTCAAAGCTTTACTCACATCTTCATACACTTAGCAAAAGCTGTAAGCCTTGGAGAAAGCTTGTGATAAATACCTTACATAATTTAAAGCTTTCAGACAGATATAATTAGGAGGACAAACAATGAACATTGAGGCCATTTATAACACTGACTGATCAAAAAGTGTTACATAAACACAGAGAATTTATCATGTATGTTGTTGGGTTCTTTGGAGCTGGACCAAAATGTATATTTATTTTCTTATCATGTTCATTATTTAAATTACAATCGAAAGCTGTAATTTTTTAACAGACTATATTATTGCTTCTTTTGCTATTTTAAATTAATGTATTAAATTATATTTTGCTGTTTCAAACACCTACCTAAATTATTTGCACATATATGCTGAAGAGTAGAAAGTTTCAAAATAGCACATCTGCATATATATACTCTGTATGCACAGATTTTATAAAAGATTTACTAAGATTTGTGTCTCTTTCATGTAGAGTTACGTTCTAAACGACTTTAAATGTAGCATGAAATTCTATTTTGTACTTCCTTAGAAATCCAGTAGATGGCAATGCAGATCGTATTTTCACTCCCAGTTCAACTCAAATGGTTCAGTCTCAAAATTAAACACCTGATGTAATGTTATAAAAATATTATGCCCTGTCATGGGTTCACGTTAGTTGAAAAAGTGCTGCCTTCTAAGTGGCACAGCCTTAAGTAACTATCCACCAGCAGCTACTGCATGTCTGAAAAAAAGCTTAGTAAAATGCAGTACTTTGTCCTCTTCACCCACACCACACAAACACATCACCACACAGAGCTCAGACAAGTTTTTCCATAAGATAAGCAGGCGTTTTACCAACGCCTGTTCTTGGCATTCTTTTTTTACGATAAATAAATAATTTAAAATGCAAACAGCAATACTGCATATGCCCACGAAGGCAACAGCTAGAGCTAAAAACCTGTTGGTGATCTTTAAGCATCCACATTGAAGCTGTGACCTGAAAAACATCGTTCAGCTGCTCCCTAAAGCTGGAATTACCTCAGTTGCACCAGATGCCTTACTGGTGTGCCAGCACTGCAGCACCCATCTATCTCATGGAGATGCTTCCAGAGGGAGCCTGGCTTTGCCCTCAGCCCCACCAGCACCTCAGCTGGGAAAAGCTGTCAACATGTCACGGCTTTTGGGAATACACACTTTACACAGTAAAGTCAAGACAGGCCATTTCAGCAAGTTGCTGTGGATAGTTTTGTCTCAATAAAGAGAAATGAGGGGTTTATGGGGAATCTAGCATGTGTTGACAAGAAAAAACAGCTGAAGTTGAGTGGAGAAGTCTAGATATATTTATTGGTTACTTCATTAATCATCCAAAGACATATAAATCCATTATTAATATTTATATCCTCTGTACAGGTAGGACAAGTTAAGGTTGAATAGTAACAACATATCTAACTCTTTAAGCTCCCAAGTTCTTGATGTAGTAATGTTACTGTGTTAGTCTATTTGAAGTCCAGGATATTTTTAAATGTTTGGGGGTGTGCTGCTTTTTTAGCATGGCAATACTTGGTTTGGTTATTTCATAAAGATGAAATAACTTCAGGATGTACTCATATTGCAAAATACTGGACTTCTGTGAATTTGGATGTTAATATTTCTGTGTTAATGCTATTGTAGTATTTTTTAATTCAGTGTGAACTGTTGTTTTAAGAACCAAAGGCAAGCAAGACATGGTTTCTGTAAGCTATGA